GCTTCATCATCTTAACAACCTTACCACCCTCCAACAGCGTCTAGCAGCCGTTACAAATCAGATTACCCTGAATTCTGACGAGACTGAAGTCCTACTGATCGGCCCTGAGTGCTTTAACAAAAGAGCACTTTCCCCCCCTGCAGTGTGTGTGTGAGTAGTCGGGTGAACAGCTGGTGGAGTTTTGCAACCACGGCAGCAGAAGATCAAAACATCCCCGCACATCTCCCACAATGCACCTGACCTCGTCTGGAGTCACCTGAAGATTAAAGCTGAGAGAAGAGGAAGAAAGCGCGAACAACAGACGATCAGAAAATCTACCTGTCTTATGAATTAGATTTTTATTTTTTTAATGAAGGAACGTGCAACTGTTTTAATCCAGTAGATGTCGCCCCTTGAGCACCAGCATGAAACCAAAACAAACTTCCTGTTAGGCCACGCCTCCTCCATACTGAAGCCTCCGCTCTCCTCCAGCGACACACATCCAACCCCCCGCTCGAAGACGTCAAGCTCAAGTGGTGGACACGATTGTTCTTAGCTCGAGCTGCAATCACCTGTGTGAGCTGAGCAGTGATTGTGGAGGCACTTTGCAATTTGGAAGCACCCAGAGTCATTTTAAAGTGTGATATGGAAAAGTATTTAAGGCCTTATTGCAAACACCTCCTCCAGTCCTCCAATCACAGCTGATCAACCAACAAACAGGAAATGAAATACAAAAAGAACATTATTAGATTTACATCACTTTAATAGTGAAGTGAATTATAAATGTTTAACTTAGGAGCTCAGTGATTGGTTGTTTGGAGAGCTGAAGAGAGAAACACACCTGAGAGTTTCACATGAAGGTACAGCAGCAGAGAGCGGACTGGATTCTGTCCACTACGAGGTCCCTGATACAAACAACAGATTGAATCCATGAGAAAGACAAACAGAGAGAGGGATTAAAGAGCGCGCTGTGATTGTTGAATGTAAAATGAAAGAGGAGGAATCAAAAGAGAATAAATAAAAGGTGTGAGCAATAATGAGCCGGGAGGTTATCGCTGATTCATCTTAATCACATCCTGTTTGTTCCTTTGTGTCTCTGAGGGAACAGAACTGTTTAATAAAAGTTCATTAATGAAAAAACACATTTTAATCACGACTTAAACAGAACGAGAGAAAAGGAAAAAGATACGACGGAGGACGATAAGAGGCGACTCAAACGCACCGGGAGCGTTAATAAACGACTGGAGCAGCTTCGGAATGAAAGAAAAACACAACTCCTGCTGAGCTGAATGTTAAACTGAGTCCAACACAGAGAGGAGGACTTCCTTTTTCCTGTTCTACACTCGCCATGTCGTCATGGAGACTATTAGAAATGCTCCATGTCGACATGTTTAAGCCGATCGTTGTTCCGATCACAATCCATGTTCACGCTCGATCCAATCACGTCTTCCTGGTTGGGTTCAAACTCGTCTTCCTGCACGTCTGGAGGTCCTGAACCCTCCTCTGTTTATCGATAACAGGCCGGTTATGTGCTGAGCTCGCGGGTGCAGGAGGAAGAGAAATAAAATAAAGACGTTCAAAGTCACATCTGCAAGAGATGAGGAGAATGAAGTCTCTGTCTCACAGTGAGGAGGAGAGTGGAGGAGAAACATGTGGAGACGTGCAGCAAGTTTGTGGAGTTTGTTTTCTACCCGCACAGCGCTTTAGGGGGGGTACAGACTACAAGATGATCGGGATGATATTGGTCCTGATTCACCCCCTGTAGGACTAAGTCATCAAACTAAACACCTTTTCAGTAGAGCATGTTATTCTTTCCTTCTGAGGACATGCAGACAGATGTTTTTAAACTAAATATTCATCATGTCGAGGAGGTTACAGAAGTGGACTCATGCAGCGCTGCAAAGCAGAAATGACTTTTACTGAATTTTTTCAGTGCATAAACAAAATAATTGAATCCTTTTTTGGTTTAACAAACACACTCTGAGTTTGTCCATGGGGTGGAGGGTGTCATGATTTGGTTTTGTATTTTGCTTGTTTCCCTTGTGTGTTAATGTTTCCTTGTGTTGATGGGTTCCTGGGTTTGTCTTCAGTGTTTCCTGTTTTATTTTGTAGTTTCTTATCTGTGTTTCTTTGTTCTAGTGGTAATGTTACATTCTTGAGTTCTCTGTGTATCTCAGTGTTTCTTGATTTTGCTGTAGTCTCCAGTGTTTCTTGTATTGTATTCCTGCCTCTGTGTGTTTCCCTCCGTGTTGATGACCCTCAATGTCTTCACCTGTGTCGTTAGTCTCACCTGTGTCTGATTACCCCATGTGTCTATTTAGTCTCTGTGTTGCTTGTCCTCTGTGTCAGTTCATTGTTGTTTCTCATGTCATAGGCCAGACTGCTGCTTACCTGTGTTTCCTGTCCTAGTTTTTGTCTTTAGAGACTAAGTTTTTGTTTGCCTTTGGCCTGTTTGTTTATTAAATATCTTTAGTTAGTTCTGCACGTGGGTCCAGTTCCTTGTTTTTTTCCCTGAGCGTGACAGAGGGAATGCAATTGAGCTTCTTGAATTTAACTTTTTAAGGATTTCTGTCTTTCAGTTTGGGAGTTTTTCTGTCTTCTCCAGGAAAGTAAAAAATGAACTACCTCCTCAGTTTTTGTCTGGAAGCTTTCAGAGCAGCACGACAGCAGACATTTAATATGAGAGCAAATATTAAAGGAGAGCGACGGCTTGAATAATGACTGGAACTCTTTTTATAGAAACACACTGAAGGAAATGGACAAGATTAAATTATAGTTTATTACCATGAATCAACTGATTCATTGATTAAGAGAGAATAATTTCAAGATCATCAAGTCTGTAAATGTAGCCGGTGTCATGATTCACTTCTTTTGGTGTTTTTTTTTTTTTTAACCTTTTTCTTTCTTTCTGATGAGTTTGTCTTCTGTTCGGGCACACTCACACTCTGCAATCTGCACCGTGCCCGAGCACTGTGACCCCGTCAGTCCATCGGTCCTGGCTCCTCCTTCACATTTGGCACGATCGTTCAATTCCTTCCCCCCTCCCCTCCCCTGCTGCTCTGTTCCTATTAGTAACATCGTTCTGTACCTGAGTACATTTAACTTTTTAAAACTGGAGATAAAATGTCAATCATAGAATCCAGAGTCAGACATGTTGTAATTATGAAAACTATGAAATACTTTAAAGGTATGACGCCTACAAGATGTTTGAAATCACATGCCCACTTGTGCAGCAGCTTCTGCCCATGCTGATCGTTACATCACCAGAGTCTTAATTAGTGATTGGATGCACCTGTCGAGGTAACCACATGTAAAGAAACTCAACATGCATGTCTCACTACGTTCTGAAGAAAGTCAGAGATGGATTGAAATGGCTGCATGAATCATTTTTGTCTACATTCTTCATGTCGTGTTTGAAAAACATTTCTCTGTTTTCTCCTCAACTTGAGAAACTCTTCATCCTGTTAAAAGTCCTCCTCACAGTTTGACACCTGAGGAGCTAATTTAAGGGCTGAGAAGCTTTGTGAATAACTTTCATCTTTACCAGGATCTAGTCCTGACTTTAAGGGCAAATTCTAAGAAAATGTCCTGATTTTAAGCATTATCTTAATTTTTTCCCCAGGAGCGACAGCACCAGAACCTTTAAAAGCTCCTTTTTTTATCACTATTTCATTTGATAATTTCAGACCCATTGATGGAGGATCTGATGGTGATGTTCATCAGGCAGGTACAGGTGCTGATCTCTGGGAGGAAGGTAAACATGGTCTGGGGGGGTTAGGATTTTAAGAGTCGAATAATGTGTTTTTTTTTTTTTAAACTGACATTCTGGAAATGATTTGATAAATGAAATCTACAAAATAAAACAACAATTAGGATGTAGGGTTTTCCTTAGACTCACTTCCATAGAGTGATAGAGAAGTAATATCCCTCATGTCTTGGATTGTTTATGTTTCAAAATGCAGAAAAGGGCATCATTCACCCCAAGGACCCCCCCGTCCCCCCAGAGGAAGTTTGTCTTGCATGAAGCCCCTGCTCGGTTGTAACTCAGCCCAAATAGTTCATTTCTAACATATGTCCTGCTTCCATGGGGTGGCACCAAGGGGGGGCCCATGCCGCCCCTCTGGACACGCCCCTGTGTTCACATTAAATCTCATATTTATTTGAAAAGACGATGAACGAAAGTGACAGAGTGCGTCAGAGCCACTGACTTTATTCACTGTGAGGAAAATCATTTGAGTACAGTCAAACATTAAAACAAGATTTACGTTTAAAAAAAAAACAGAAACAAGTGGAGCTGATTGGACGGGTCAGCTTTGATTGACAGCTCTATAAATGTGTGAAGACATTGACGTTCATTTTTTTTTCTTTTGATACAAAACAATGGATTGTTTTCAGTGTGGCACCACCACATACACACACACGTCTACACCCATGAAGACGACATTAGGACATGAATACAAAAACACTCTGAGTTATAAATACATTATTTATAATCTGTATGGTACAAAAACACTCTCTCTCTCTCCCTCGGGGAGCTCAGTGACGGGCGAGCGAGGCAGGGGGGCGGGGGAGCGTGATCAACCACAGTGACGTATAAATACTCAGCCGGCTACAACTTTGGCAAAAATCACAAAACCCACAAAGAACACACAAGGGGCGGGGCTATGAGGTGCAGGGCGGGGGGTGGGGGGTATAAGTGCTCAGGGGGCGGGGCTTGAGTCTCAGGAGAATAAAAGACATCTCTGAATAAGAAGACGGATAGTCAAAGTAGCCTATCAGGATGCAGGATTTTGTTTTTACAGTGCGAGCATAACAAGAAAAAACAAAGGTAAAATAAATACAAACACAGACAGGCAGGGGCGGGGCTTAACAGAGGAAGGCGGGGCTATCAATGTGAGGAAGGTTACTCTCAGAGGACACAGGTCGACGCTGTGAGGACTTCAGTTATTCAGGAGGTTGAAATCCGGTTTCTGATTGGCTGACAGCAGCAGAGGTTGACTGTCTCAGTTTGTGTGGAATAAAAACACATGATCAGGAAGTGAATTCAGTCTCCTCCTCCTGATTGGTCACTACCTCAGTGAGACGACCAATCAGGTGTAAGAATTTGGATTCCCCGTCATTTGGAGCCTTTGACGTGTTCAGTTGGATTTGACATTTTCTTCTGTTTCTTAAACCAAACTTTAATTACAATTAGAGGAAATGATGCCACATCAAAGGTGTGACATCACAGTTTTTACACCAACAGACCCCGCCCCCAAACACAGACGAAAACATCAGAATAATTACAGAGAGCGGAAAGCACCCAGAAATCTGCTGTACAAAAAGTCTCACTTTGCTTTCTTCTTTCGTCTACTCAGAGACATCAGTTCATTTTCTTTTTTTAAACTCTATACTCTGCTCTGACTGGTCAGAGTGTGCCTGAGGCCCCGCCTCTTGATGCCACAGGCCCCTCCTTCTTTGAGGTGATTGGTGCTCGTGGCTGAGGGGGAGGAGAGATGAGGAACGAGGAGGAAGATGTCTTACATCGGAGGAACGACGAGGCCGGACATGGCTGCAGAGACGGAGACACAAAGATGATTATTAATAACACATTAAACATTTGATTTACTGTTTACTGGCTTTATTTAACACGACAATGAGTTCAGCTGACAAATGGAAAATGGGAACTTTTGTTGAGCTGTTGAAAACAGAAATTAAAGTTGATATAAAATAAAACCCAATGAACCTATTCTAACCTTGGTGCAGAGTTTACCTGAATTACGGTAACAAAACGCAAATAACCGATATTGGACGTCTATTTTTGTTGTCACAGTATCAATATTGTTTGATTTTTAAACTACAATCATATTGAGGTTTAAAAATCTGGTACCATGACGACCACGCTCATCATGACTTTAACAAAAAATACATAAATAGCTGAGTGTTTTTACACTGAGAACACACAAACACACACACACACACACACACACACACACACACACACACACACACACACATACTGAGCTGACATGTCATCTCTCATTAGCTTCCTGCTAACAACCGACGACATGTAGCAGCACGCAGTTTAATTTACAGGCTCATTACGCACTCACACACATACACACATGTGTGCGAGTCTATATTTGTGTGTCACTTTTTTATTAAGTAAAACCTCGTCAATAAACAGAGAACAACTACAATATGAAATAAAATGGGAAAACATATTAAAAACTGTAAACAATGAAATAACACACAAGACATTAAATATATATTTAATGTGAATAAGTAAACATATAAAATTTATCTGAGCTGTGTTCATGTACAAACCGCAGCTATTAATAACATTCAAACTGTTTATTTATCTGCTCTGATGCTGCTAATGGAACAACACACACACACACACACACACACACATAAACAAACACACATACACACACACACACACACACACACACACACAGTGTGGCCTTTCTGCCTCGGTGAAGGCGGAGAGCAGCATGAATATTTAACACTCGACAAACCTCTCTGTCAGAAACACTGACATCACACACACTGACTGCCACATAGAAAGCCAGAGAGAGAGTGTGTGTGTGTGCGTGTGTGTGTGTGTGTGTGTGTGTGTGTGTGTGTGTGTGTGTGTGTGTGTGTGTGTGTGTGTGTGTGTGTGTGTGTGTGTGTGTGTGTGTGTGTTTAGTGGATGTATCTGTGGGTTGTAGTGAATAAAACATGGATTGGCCTGTCACTCTTCATGCAATACTAACAGAACTCAGGTTACCCACCCTGTGTCTCTCTGTGTCTGTCTGTGTGTGTGTGTGTGTGTGTGCGTGTGTGTGTGTGTGCGTGTGTGCGCGCGCGTGCGTACTGATGAAACTGAAGCTCGCAGTGAATCATTTCCTCCTCACTCATTCACATGAAACGTAATAAAAACATGTTTTATTTCGTGTCAAACTGTCAAAATAATTAGAATTATTTTTAATTTAATGGATCAACCTCCTCCTTTATTGGCCTCCATGTTTTCAAAAAGCATTTTAAATGTCTTCTTTGTCAGTTATAAATCTGCAGAAAGACATAAGTATGTAAAAAATAATTTATTCCGATGCCTTTTTTGAAAGATGTTAAACACTCATTAAAGGTGTTCCACAGGGCAGAGTTCTGGCTCCTGTCTTATTTTAAATTGTTATAATTAATGAAGCTCAAACACAAAAATCCCCTCGTATATTCTTCAACTCCTCAAAGACTGACAGACAGCACTGAATTGTTGTTTATTCTTTTGTTTGATTTGTTTTAATTGTTTTTTTCAGAAGTGCTAATGCGTAGCAGAGAGAATCACTCCCATGATTCCCCGCCAGCCTTGACGTCATCTTTTTGTTATTGTTTTAACGGTTTGCACCACAGAACGCCACAGGAGGTAATTCCTGTGTACTCCTTTGACAGAGTCATACACATAGTCTGTCAAATGTCCTGGACTTATTTACATTAAAAACTGGAAAATCCTCCATATTTGTGCATATTGTAAATATTGTTCATATGTTCATATATTACATTGCCTGTGTTTGTACTTACTTCTTCTTCAGGCTTTGGTGCTTAGTTCTACTGATAGTTCTTTTTTATTCTATATACATTTCCACATGTCCTACTTTATATTGTGTTTTATATTTCTGATTCTGATTTATTTCTGCTTTGAAGATGTCTTATTATTTGTGGTGTTTGTTTTATGTGTTTTCTGTTTTAAAGCACCTGTATTGATTTCAAATTTCCACACAATAAAAATAATAAATAAATGAAACTGTGAATGAAATTGTCTCTTGAATAGTGGGCTGTAATATCTCTCTTTATGCCGATGATCCTGTTTTATTTTGTTCTGCTGAGTCTTCACAGCTAACGACTAAACGAACTAAACAAATAAAGATTCTTTCACTGAGGAGGGTGAGTTGGTGATGTGATGGAGGAGGAGGAGCTGCAGCGTCACCTTGAAGCCCGTTGGAGTTGTTGGCGGAGCAGTTTGGAGGAGGAGGAGACGCAGACGGTCGGACGACGGGAGCGAAGGCGCTCTTCTGTTTGACGGCAGCCGAGAAGGAGAACACTCCGTGGGAGGAGTTACAGTTGGAGACCGCCATGGTGGGACTGGAGGGGACGACTGGAACACACGGAGCACAAACCAGTTGGAACCAGTTAATCAGATGAACCATGTTAACATGTTCAGCAGTGGTAACGGGAAGAACTTCAAAGCTTCGGTGTAAAACTCGAAGTTGAAGTTTTGCTAATATTTACCTTGATACTTACTGCCGTAGGGAGAGTTGGCAGATGAGCCGTTGAGAAAACCCGGTGACGTTGCCACGCCGAGGTTTGGCATGCCCGTGTTGCCGTATCCGTTCATACTGTTGCTGACCGTGTTGCCATAGTTACTCTGCTGTGGGGTGGAGCTCGGTACGTATCCCCGTGGCGACACGCTGCTCGTGTTACGACTGTAACCGACTGTAGGGGGCGACATCACCGTTGTGTTATAATAACCTGCTGAAAACGTCTGTGGCGTCTGTGGTTCGTATTTAGTCTGGACAGGGGTGCGTCTGTTCCAGGTGCTCGTACCTTGCGTTGTGTCCGAGACGTTGACGGCCAGCTGCCCACCGAAGGAGTTCACTCCCATCATGCCGTGGGAGGCGGTGTTGCCTAGCGATGGGATCTGGTTGTGGTTCCTGGGAACGCTGTAGAGTGCCTCGGCGATGTCTGCTGCTCTCTTCAGGATGATCTCCTACGGACACAGAAGAAGGTTTATTGTATCAGTATGACACCTGTCTGTCTGTCTGTCTGTCTGTCTGTCTGTCTGTCTGTCTGTCTGTAAGGCTGTAAACATGACGACTAATATTGACGACATGACGACTAAAGTTTCTGATATTTAAACACATGAACATTTTAACAAACACTGTGTTTCTTATGTGTACAGTTGAATTTACATTCGTTTCCAACCTCTGTTCAAGGTTACTCTACAATTCACCAGACCTGCTTCTTTGTGTGTGTGTGTGTGCGTGTGTGCGTGTGTGTGTGTCTGTGTGTGTATTACAGTGTGTGTGTTTTGGGGTGATTAACTCTGGCTGTAGAAGCGTGTCGGGGAGCGTTCAGGAGCAGGATGGAGTGAATATAAAGTGTTTCAGTGTTTCAGGAGGTTCTGGGTCATAAACCTTGGGAGGGGGGGGGCGTCCTGCTAGCTGAGCATCATGGGAAATATGTTTACAGTGATGTTTACAAGAAAGTCTGAAAACTCCTGTATAACCTTTTGATAAATTAAGGTGAGAGAGGATGTGAGTCTGACCTGAACAGAGACGCCACACACACACACATCACTGTGACGACAAACAGCTGTCTGTGTGCACGTATGGAGGTGTAGAGGTGTGCAGGTTTACAGGTGTAAAGGTGTGCGGATGTGCAGGTGTTCCACAGGGCAGGTGTTCAGGTGAGAGGTGCGCAATTGTAGGGGTGTGCAAGTGAAGAAGGTGCACAGGTAGAGGTGTGCTGTTGTAGGGATGTACAGGTGTAAAGGCGAACAGGTATTCAGGAGTGCAGGTGTTCAGGTGAACAAGTGTTCATGTTTGCAGGTGTACCAGTGTGCAGGTTTACAGGTGTGCAGTTACAGGTGCAGACCCTACCTGGTTGTTGTGAGGCATCCCATAGAGCGCCTCCACCAGGTCAGCAGCTCTCTTCAACAACACCTCCTGCAGGAGAGAGGAGGAGGACAAACACATTAACCAGGTGTGACAGAGCCCAGGTGTGTGAGTAGGAGTCACTATCTAACCTCCACCTGGAGTATGTTCAGGGTGGTATGCACAGTCAGGTGTGATTACAGTCAGGTGTGAGGTACAGGTATCATGAGTGTACAGGTAAACTCTGTAGATGATGAACAGCAGTGTCCCCACCAGTGAGCCCTGAGGAACGCCGGGCTGAGAGAGTGGTTACATCCAAAGCTCTACACAGTTTCAGAAACCATCAGTTACAGTTTTTCTCAGTCGCCTTGGTACATTTCTCAGATCAGAATTGAAATTCTCAAAAC